ACTTTAGTTAACATGGGAGTAAAGATGAAAGAGGTGGATGAGTTTTGATATAGTGACTAAATCAGAAAATATGTTTTCTGAAATCTGATTTTTTTTAGATGAAAGTTTTTTGAACATTGGACATAGAACAAGTATTTTATTTTATTTTTTTAAAGATTTATTTATTTATTTATACAAGCACTGTGTACAGTCAGAAGCGTGGGAGGGTGAGAAAATTCACCAGAGCCAGAGTGGGGAACAGAACAGGCAGACTGATGAAATACACTGCTGAGGGGAGCAGCAGGCATGGCAGGAGAGGTCTGCGCACCATGTGGGACCCTCGCCAGTGGCTGGTGTTGCAGAGGCTGCAGGCAGCTTCGCAGTACAGCACTCAGCCGCTGTGCCACCAGGGGAGGCCCTGAAATCTGATTAATAGTTTATAAAAGTTGATTCTGTTGGTATGGTTAAAGTTAAGAATTAAAATGAATCATTAAAAGCATGAATCAAACAGCATATGTTGTATGAGCTGGGAGAAAACAAAGGCTATGAAAGGAGAGAGGAAGGAGAGACAAACAGAGTTGAGTATACACTTGAGTTGTTTATTATCAAATAGAATTAAAAACTGAAAATATCAGGCAAGATAGTTCAGAGAGGAAGAAATACAAAGTCAACACAAAGACAGGAGTAGTAAAGTAAGGTAAGAAGAGTTCCATGATTGATTTATCAAATCTCATGAATTTTTGAGTTTCTTCTTTGTTATTCCCCAGGCTTGGATTGACTTTCAGTAGGAAAGAAAGCAGGTGTTAAACGCAGCTAAGCATGCTTTCTAGAAAGGAATGCCCTCATTTGAACATGCCTGAAATCCTCTCATCCTAGCTTTCAGATATGAGTTCTATTCTAAAAGAAATTTCCCTCAATTGAAATCGCCACCATATTTCACAGATTTTCTCAGAACACTTCTTAAGTCCTTAAGGCTGACAAATTTACTTTAGGCTAGACAACCTGTAAAACGTTGAAAGGGTCCCTTTATTTACAGATGTGCTTAATAAGATTATAAGTAACTTACATGTTAGAGAAAGTTCATCAAAGTAGGACTTGTCCAAAAGTACTAAACTGAACAAACAATGGTAAAATAAGTATAAGCTTGGAATCAAACTAATGGCTGGATTTTTGTTTGCTGGAAAATTGTTATATAGTCACAAGAAATTCTACTGAAATTGTGTAGAAATACAATTTGCTTTACTTATTGTCCAAGTTGTTTTTTGTCACATTTTATCATAGTATTTTGCTTTGATGCTAAAATAATCATTCTGTTTAAACAGATTGTTGTTAGAGGCTTCATGTCCATCTTTTTTCTAAGTTTGTGTTGATTTAGATTGCTGTTCCCACATAATTTACTTTCCAGACACAAGGACTTGGCTAGAAGAGCTGTTACTGAAGGAATCTGTCACCAATGAGACCACTATTATTTTACTCTGATTCTAGCATTTTTTTTCTTTATAATTAACTTCTTTTCAAAATCACCCACTGGGGACCGTGCCCCAAAATGTTCTAATCCCACATCATAAAATTTGAAGGCTGTGAGAGGCTGTATGCCTACCTTTCTTTTAAAGACAAATTGTTCTCTCTCTCTCTCTATTATTTTTATTTTATTTTTGCCCCTAAACTGGTTAAATAAGGACTTATTCTTTGCAGAAAATGAAGCACAATTCATTTATTTTAACCATGTCATTGTTAGTTTGATCCAATGCTTATTCAGAGCAGTTAATAAATTATTGTGTGGCTTAGCAAGTATTTATTAAACAGCCCATATGCAGAAAATTGAAGCAAAGTACAATGTCTGATCTCAAGGATAGAGGCCTAATTCTTTCAGGTTCTTATTGGAGGAAGAGACCCTGAGATGGTGAAACTTAAAAACCATGTAGAATATAGTTACATAGAACAGAAGAGTCATTACCAACTATGTGATTGTCATGAACAAAAAGTTCATTAACTGATCCTAATGGTGGTTAAGATTGATGTGGGTGATTCACAGAGATTCAGCCATCCAAACTGTTACCTGTTTCATTTCTGATGTCTTGTGTAAGATTTTGATGCCTACCACCTAACTTTCTCATGATTTAGACTTTGCATAATTTTCATGCTGCTGCTTTAACAAGTTACCATAAGTTTGGTGACTTCAAACAGCACACAATTATTCTCTTATAGTTTTAGAGATCAGAATGCCAAAATTATTTACCCTAGTCCCAAATCATCGCATCAACATTGCTATTCTTTTTTTTATAATAAATTTTATTTTTATATTCCCCATACAATTGCAACCCCCTTATTTTGACCCCAATCCTTCCCCTCCCACCCCCTAGCCCCATGGAGTGTCTCTGGTTCATAGATTTTTGTTGATTTTGATTTTCACTTTCTTATAGTTATTCATTTGCCTGGTCCCTTATTTAAGTTTTCTAGATTCCTGCTATGAGTGAGACCATCCGGTATTTTTCTTTTTCTTTCTGGCTTATTTCGCTGAGCATTGCTGTTCTTTCTTTGGAGGCTTTGGGGAAGTTTTGGTTTCTTTGCCTTTTCCAACTTTTAGAGCTGCTTTCCTGGAGCTACTTGGTACATGGTCTCTTTCTCCATCTTCGGAACCAGCAGTGTAGTATTTTGTTTCCATGGTTCTGTTGCTTTCCTCATCTGTGATAAGTCTTCTTCCTCATGAGAATATATGTGGCTGAATTTGTGGCCCACCTGGACAAACCAGTATATAATCTCCCCATTTCAAGATCCTTTATTAACTGACAGGTTCAAGAGATGAGGATGACTTTGGGGATTTCACCGGGAGCCATTATGTAGTCTATTGCATACTTCTATTGAAATGACTTCTTGTTCAAGGAGAAAATATTGACTGAGGAAAAAAAAATGGACAGTGCTTCTTTTGAAAAGCTGTATAAGAAGGAAAATAATATACAGAAATGGATATAGTGAAGTGAAAATATCAGGGTGGATTCTAAGTTTGTGTTTGGCCTCATTTGTCTTACATCTGTAGATACTATAGAGATTCTGTAATGTTGGCTCCACATTGGGAGGTCACTGAAAATATTCTGAAGCATAGACTCAGACTCATGTGACAAGGTTTATTCCAGGACCCACCTATTGCTCCTGATGTTTCAAAGGACCCACCTCCTTTGCATTTCAGATGGACTTCACCAACTTCACATTGCTGCTCTGAGTGCTACATTTCCTCCTAATCTGGCAATTATACCCTCCTTGTCTCTACATCCAGGAATTAAGTAACTCTTACTATCTTGAGTTTTCAATTAAAATAGCCAATCACTCTGTATCTTGGCCACACATGTAGAGGTTATTACTCCAACTCAACTCTCTCTTTCCATGTTCTCTAGTCAGATTAATGCTTGAGGCATGGCTTATCACAGCTCAATATTTCTTAAGTATAGTGACAGTGTCCACATGAATTTCCAGTCATCCAAAACTCATGACCTGTTCTCATTCCTACACACATAGCATAGCAACCTACCACATTGACACTGCACCATATAATCATCGAGATTTACCATTGATGGCTGCTTCCCTGAACCCCCAGGAATGTCCCAAAATGTTCAAATGAAAAAATTTGTATGACATATTTGTATGTCTTCTTAGCCATTGACACCATCTCTAAATACAAGGTGAATGTCAGTCACAATTATTACACTTACAATGGCACCATTATGAAGAGGAATCTGAATTAAAGCCCTTCCACTACAATTAATAGAAGTTTTTTTTTTTAAGTTCACTCAGCTGCCTTTTTAAAATTTATTTATACATACAACAATTGGGGCACAGTTTAGAGGTGCTGGCGGCAGGGTGTTGAGAGGATCAACCATAGACAGAGTGAGGAATGTAGAACAGGCTGACTGACTGAAATACACTGCTGAGGAGAGCAGTGGGCGAGTCAGGAGAGGTCTGCTGCACCATGTGGGTAGCTCCCTGCCTGGGAATTGAACTCATGCTGCAGTGGCTACGGATAACTTCATAGGTTGCCTCTTAATCCCTTGCGCCACCAGGGAGGCCCTACACTTAATAGAACTTAAATACTGTTTTTGCCTTGTCTCTACATTGCTGTGGGTCCTTTGATAAATCACTTCCCAACACTGAGTTTCAATTACATTATCTCTAAATTCTCCTTTATATTATTGTTCAGGGTTATGGTAGAGGTTAAAGAAGAACATGGGTAAAGAGACATTTTGAAAGGCAATATTAGTATAGGACATTTTTATTTTTTAATTGCAGTAATAATCATTGTCAATTTTGCTGTAGGAATCATAAAACACTCAAGTTCAACTAAAAAACTTGTTCATCAATAAATGGATTTTTTAAAATAGGGAATGATCACAGTAATTAAATAGTCAATATCTCTGAGAAATAACTTCTATAGCTTCTAACAATAATAATATATGTTCTAATTGACAAAAAGTAACTTCCATAGGATCAAAGACTAGTTAGAGGCAAAACTAGAATGAGTCCAGAATTTCTTAATTTTCAAAGTAATAGTTATTCTAACACTTCATAATACTTATAATTAAAAAGTATGACTGGCTTCATTATCTGTGATTCCTACATTCATATTAATAATCCTTTATACTTTCTGAGTTCATTAAAAATATTTTTTCTGTTTCATGTTGTATATTTTACTCAATTATAAGGTTTTGTCATTATTTCATTTTCAAGGCCAAGTTACTTTGTTACTTCACTTTTGTAAATTGCCATTTATAAGAGTATCTGTTACATAACTGGATGTTTTTGCTTCTTTTGGAAAGTTCAGTTCCTTTATTTGTTTCTCTTTTATTTTAATTGCTTTGAATGAAAATCTTCCAAATTGAGACTGTATTTTTTTTTTTTGTATTTAGAAAGGATGAAATGCAAACTCATAATAGACATGGAGAATCCCACCTTAAATAATTTGTAAATTATTCATATTAAGTGAAAGAGTTAAGTTATTGGATACATAATAAAAAAATGCCTTTCTACAGGTCAGAAAACAAAAATTGTACAGAAAAAAGACTACATTTACTGCATTCAAAATAGCAACAAAAACTTTTCCAAAGGACACAACAGAGCACATGGTCATTGCTACAGATGTCTGAGTTCCCATCTGGATGTGGGTTGGACCTAGACTGGCCACGTGGACCTACCTAATTGCATCATATAGTAAGTGCCCTTTCTTACCTTGGTCTTTGTGATCTCATCTAAAATCTGATGGAAATGGTAAATTGTTTCCTTTCATTGCTGACTAGAATGCAGTTGCATGGTATCTTAACAATTTGCCCATTCTCCTGTTGGTAGACAACTGTGTCATTTCTGTGTTTGTTGGATTACTATTTAGCTTTGTAATTGTGAGGTTATAGATAGATCATACCCCAACTTTGAAGCTGGTTCATCCCCAGATGTGTGGCTTATGATGAATAAGTGGTTTCTAGGTGTCTCTGGCTCTATCTTCTCAACTGATCATGAGATCTTGGAACGTTGTTTACAGATTTAATTAATTAATTGGGGCCATGCTACAATCCATTTGTATATCTGCATAGCTAGAAACTCCTACTTGTCTTCCTTAAAGACTCTAAAATTGAACCTATATTTGCAGTGAGCTCTGAAAAATTGTAGCGCCATGAAAGTGCTAAATTGTATTATTATGCAGGAGACATATTTGGGCTGGTATATAAATTGTGATAATCCCAGAGTCTTTCAAGGTACCGAGGGGAATGGATAGATCTATTTTTTAATCTGTTTAGACAGCTGTCTACACAGCTGCATCCTGGCTATTCGTCTTTGCCTGGTCACATGGTCCAGGACATCTGTCTGTGCTACTTCCCACCCTTGAGAAAATTAATGAGGGCGTCAGATGTGCAGTCTAGACATATCTGGAGAGGCTCAGCTAAAACTGGGGTGACTGCTGGTCTCGCTTTTTATTACATTGTAGGCACATGTTTTGTAAAATATCTCATTATTTTCAGAGTGGCAATTCCAGGCATTATGATAAAGGCACATCTTTTGTTTGGAGTGAGCACAGCATTTGTTTCTCAGTTAATCTCAAATGCTGGCTACAACCACTTGAAAAACTACATTTTTGGCAATGAAAGCAATTGGTTCTCCCTATTCTAGAAAAGGCCTCCCCTGAGAATTGGTCTATATCTGCAATAAGAAGAGACAGGGATCATTTTCCCAGAAGCAACAGCCTAAAATGTGCTTTGTCTATCACTACCGTGTCTCCAGAACCTTGATCCTCAGAATTTCATAAATGTTTGCTTTCTTTGTGAAAGAAAGAAAATTTGCAAAATTTCTCTAGCTCTCTCTTACTTCCCCCCACTGTTGGCCTTTGTCCCTTAGCTCTGCAATTTCAAATCCTGTTCATTCTTAACATGCAGTCAACCTACCATCTCTGGTGTTAAACCTTATTCACTCCCTAAATATGTTCATATTTTCTTTATGCAGTTTCCACTGAGCTTCATTTTCACTGTTATTGGCATTTGTGTTCTCTATTTCCACCCTCCTAAACTTGTGAAGAATGCAGAGATGCATCTTATTCATCTTTGTGTCTGACAAGCTAAAGTACCAATGATTAATGAAGTCTTGATACTTGTTAAATTATTTGATATTTCTGAGTGACTCTTGAAAGAATTCACTAACATCATTAAGCAGGTCCTTTGTGTAAAAATTCTGAAAATATATATAGATATATATAGTATGATTGTTGGAATATTCTTGGGCAGACTAACACACTATGTATAAAATAATTATCATTATTGCAAATCTAACAATGAATGTAATCTATTCCAATAACATGAGTAGTAAATTGAAGAGTCAGTCCAGGAGATGGGCTGAGCTTACAAGTAAAACCTAAAGAATATGAATGTGGAATGGTGTATTCCTGGAAACAAGTTTTGAACAAAGGAATGTCTCAGGGATGAGCTGTTACTGGAATACTTCCTTTAGGTGTGTTTCTATGTTCACTTTTGGTATTATTTATAGAACTTCATCCTGTGGGTCTTTTGGTTTCATATTGGTTTTCTGAAATGGAGATAATCTAGAAAGTGAGAAACTGAGAAACTAATATGCATTTTGTTATTATAGAAATAGCTGTCATCAGTGAAGCAGAAGTGTCATCTCCTTAGGGTCAATTACAGCGTGACCTTGAGGCATGCTGAATAAAACAGGGTAGAGAAAGGGGGATTGTTCTCCTTGTTGGGTTTGAAAGAGGTGTAGGGGGCTGCATTCTGAGTAGCATGAGAGATGCTCAAAATACTACTTCCATTGTCGCAAATAACATCTCCCTATCCCTGCCTCCTATACCAACAACAAGAAAATACGCCTCAAATATCAGACAGTGGGGGAAAGGTGGAGTGCTGAGGGAGGAGGAGGCCAGGAGAAATGCTTTGGCAGACAGAGTTACGCCCAGTGAACTCTGGGAATGATATCCATGGATATACAATGAGTGTCAGTTCCCTTGTCCCTTCCCTAAGTATTCAGAAAGGTTTGCCAGTTTTCTACCTGGTGTGCTGTACTGGATAGAAAAAAAGGGAAGGGGTGTGTGCAGCCTGGAGTGAGGTGTGCAATGGAGACTTAAAGTGATGTGGAGCCAGTGGGAAAGTGTAGGCCAATAAGGAAGGCCAATTAGAGTGGCCTGGACCAGATGACCATCAAGAGTGTTTCATCTACTTGGTAGGACTCCTACTCTTTAGTCCAAGGTAGAGCTGCCTGCAATGAATCAGTGCCAGGGACTGAATGGTGGTAACTGGAGTTTAAAGGGAGGAGGAACTTCTGAAGCCTGGAAAATTCAGGGATGTTTGGTTTTATCTCCACAACCAGAGGATATAGAGACAAAACTCTAGAAACACAAGTCACCTACCTTTTTTTTTTATCTTTAATGGCCAGGCCACATCCTGGGAACCGGATACCAGCCATGGAGGAACTAGTTTAATAAGATAAGTGACTGACTTCAAGAAGGCAGGTGATGTCTTAATTTGAGTCCCTATAAAACTGAAACAGACTGGAGACTAGAGGTGTGGAAATTGGGGAGTAATTTCAGGAGAGTTTTGATGAACAAGCTGTCAGGTATCTTTTCCCTTTTGATCACCAAAACATGACGTTGATATTAAAGAAAGCACAAAACCTGAAATATTTAGGCAAAATGTATTGAGATGATCATTTTCTCCCTTATTCCCCTGTTTTGGATGATTTTTTTTTTGTTTGTTTTAATATACTTTGACATAAAAAAGTTGTATTTGCTCAGTTGGGTAGAAAAAAATCTCTGAAAACAGATTTGCTCCTCACTGCCAATTGTGTAGCAGTAGCTGCTGTGTGACCTTCGGTGTGGTGTTGTGGGGCTTCTGGCTCAGGCCTTCACTCAGCCTGGTGGGCACAGAGGCTCAGGACTGAGCATGTTCACTTTCCTAAGCTGGAGGCTGCTGGCTCTGCACAGGTTAACAGGATGAAGGTGGGAAGTGAGAACATCAGTGTGTCCATCTCATCCAAAGTAAATGACATTTAAAGACTCTGGATTTTGTTTTCCTTTTTGATTGTACAGTTTTCAGAGACATCTCAGAGCAGGGTACTATTGTACTGTAAAGGTTTTGTCTTATCTAAATTATCTGAAGCACTGAATTTTCAGCCAGTCTTGATTTTGAGGGCTATTTCTGCTTAATAAACAAGTTACTATTGACAGATTGCCATAATCCTGACCCTCAGATTCCACATGCATTCACTTCCTTTTGATCCAAATATTTCTTTTCCTTTTTTTTTTTTTTTTTTTAATTTATACAAGTACTGGGTGCAGTCAGAAGCATGGGAGGGTGAGAGGATTCACCAGAGCCAGAGTGGGGAACAGAACAGGCAGACCGACGAAACACACTGCTGAGGGGAGAGGGGAGCAGCGGGCGGCAGGAGAGGTCTGTCCTGCCATGTGGGACCCTCGCCTGAGGCCAGGGATCGAACTGGCACTGCAGAGGCTCCTGGCAGCTTGGCAGCCCAGCGCTCAATTGCTGCTTCACCAGGGAGGCCCTGATCCAAACATTTCTAAACCTTAAGACATCCGTGTGCCCAAGGGACATGGTTTTCTGTCCACCACTGTGTTTTGGGATTCCCTGACCTCCCTGTCTCTCTAATCTTCTTCTTCCATCCCCACCCCTCAAAGCACCTTCTCCAGGCACCTTCACCTCTGGCCTCTGTCATCATCATACCACTTGTTCTCTACTCTTGCTTTTACTCTCAGTACTTTCTATTAACAAAACAGGGCTTCTCTTTCTGTTCTCTGGCCAACTAGATAATGCCAGATCATTTTTTGAGCTTCAACTCTTATGTTTTTTCATTTATGTGCACGTTCTTGCTCCCCTATTTCCCTTCCTTCCTTCCTTCCTTCCTTCCTTCCCCCAAGTAGACACCACCATTTTTTCCTTTAAGTTCCATTTCATTAAAGACTCATTATGTCTCCATAGTTAACACAGAATTTAGCATGCAAAAGAGGCTTAATGTTTTTGTTGAAGGAGTTGGTTAATGAAGAGGGGAGATAGTGAGACATCACAGGATCAGGATTGCATGCACACTGCTGACACCAACGATAATATTTATGGTTTGAGCACCACCTTTTTGCCCCAGTCTTTGACAATCACTGTTCCATCTCCACCGTAGTTAGAGAGCTCATCGGTACTTACCACTTTGTCCTCATGTGAAAACCCCTATCTGCTCATCACCCATGTGGGTAAGATCATTTCTTTTCCAAGCTAACTTCTTCAATACCTTCTATAACCACAGTTGTCATGTAGAACTTTCCAGTGCATGAATTGTTTTGTTCTGAATGGGCTATGACCACTGCAAACATAATTTTCTCCTTCCAAGAAGGGAAAGAACAAGCTAGCCAGAGGTAAGTACAGCATCAGTGGGAGGGGGTAAATGCTTCCTGCTTCCTCCCGCAGCTCACCCTCACTATATACAGGTATATCCATGCTCAGCCCACCTCAACTCCATGAATTCACTGACTGTCCCTAAAAGGCTTTGGAAATTTTGTTCCTGATGTAGATGTAGAGCTTAAATTTTGATCGTGCCCTCCTAGAATAGAAAAAAGGATTGGAGTTGAATATATGATAGATAGATGAAGGAGTAGATTTTTCATGGAAACAAAATGGGAATTGTAAGTGCATTTTGCTACCATTTAAATA